ATTGTTGCAAACGCTATGGTGTCACTCCCGGATTCTGAAACCGAATGAAGAAGCGCCATTCTGACACAGTTAATAAAATACTTTATCACATCTCCGTCCAGAAATTAGTGGATATTAAGAGGCGTAAGCTATTTAAGTTATATATAATAAATATAGACTCGGGTGGGACCTAGGCAGAATTCTCAAAAACTCCAGAGTATGACTGACTAAAAGTCACAAAGAGTTCGAGATTTGATAACTTGGAGGTATGACAGGCAATTGCTTAGATATGGGATAATATGATAGCGCAGGATCCAGCACACCCGACCAAATTATAATGTTTTTTTATAGACTGCCTCCGCTGGTCTAAATGACGATGGGGGTAAAGCAGTTAACTTATTCTCAGTTGCTCTTGATTCCTAAATCATGGATCTTCTGAAGGAGGGGTTAACTTTTTTCCTAGGTAATGAAGGAAAGGTTTTTAATAGATATTCTTGTAGATGTTGTTAGCATCTTAGGAAAATATCCAGAAGAGACGAAACGGGAGATGGAAATGGAATTAATCCCGAGAATATTGGGACATCGATAGCCAATGAACATGGGTAAATTGACTAAGATACGTAGAAAATTACAAAGGAGCGACCAAATAGTTGAACAAACTGATTCGGGTTTCCTCTAGTAATGAGTACCATGGAGAAGAAATAGAGGAGTCATAAATAGCAGATATCAACGTGGATATTATAAAAATAAAATTAGAAATCGAGAGGTCGATCGAAAGTGAATAAACCTGCCTTCATTTGAGCTGAGTCAAAAATTGCGACCCTTACTAAGAAAATTAAATATTCAGGTGATAACAAAGGAAAATATAATACTTCACCAGCCTGCCGATGCAACACAAAAGGTTAAAAAGCTGGACTACTCGGGAGTTTATCGTATAAAATGCGGTAATTGTGAACGGAAGTATATCGGTGAAACAGGAAGAAAAATCAGCCTATGAATCAAGGAACATTCAAGACTCTGTAGAAACATGCATATGGAAAGATCCGAAATAGCGGAACACATTGCATGGACAGGAGTAAAATCGACGGAAAGTCTAAGTGCATATGGTGAAAATACAATAAAAGACAAGATCCTAGACGCCATCGATATCTTGATCGAAGGAAATTTAATGAACAGACGACTCGGAGGAGATTATGGAACAGCAAGATCAGCTAATTGAAAACGTCTATATCAAGGAAATATTTTACACTTGATGAAAAAAAATCGCAAGGAGGCCTCAGGAATAATCGGAGACCAAGAGGAGACGTCTACAGTGAGCCTATTTAAACCAAGTAGAACAACCTATCACACTTGGGGCCTGGCACACAAGCGACTATGGCATAATAAAGTCATAGGCTTGGCATTATGGATAAAAGAGTGAGATATGCGATATTGGCCATATATATTTTGCTATTAGTAGGCGAGTTTGATCATGAATGTGGTCCGTGGACTAAAGGCTTGAATACGGGATTTACCCTGTGCACATGACGGACAATGATAGGAGACTGCAGCTACAAGTCTTCATTCAGTTTTTGGTTAGGTCAAATTACAAATCCTTTTTATATAACTTTGCTTGTGGAGTTAAAATTATAATTAGATTAAATTTACTATAAAATGTGAGCCACAACTCATTTTTACATTTATTGAATTTGTAAGTTCTTTTCGTTATGTATCCATTCTGCTTATTGTTTTCGGCTTCCGGTCTTCAGATCCATGTCTTCCCGCCACTTCCGAGATTGTAGAGGCATATGATCGACTGCGAAACAATATTCTCTTGCTCTTTGACCTTCGTGTTGCCCTGCTCCAGCTTGAATATGAGCTTCAGTCAGCCAAGCTCAAAATGGAACAGTTTGCTCCAGATAGAGTAAGATAGTCTGATGATATCGTTATTACCAACTTTCTTTGTAATGATCCATGTACTCGCAAATATAATGAATTAGTTATATGAGGTGTATTCCTATTTCCTTTCAGATGATGAAGTATTGGTGGTTGAATTTTCCCACAGCAATATGAGTAGAGCTGACGTTTCCATTAAATTTCTCACAGCCTTGCTTTCCAAATGGAAATGTCAGTTCTTATCATATAATTGTGGGAAAATTCAACCACCAGTCCTTCATCACCTTAAACGAAATACGGTTAATACATCTCATAACTGATTTACTAGTAATCTCGAAATTTTATCTAAACGAAAAATAATGAATTAGTGTTTATAAGTTACACTGATTTTGTAATGATATTATGCTAGTATCCACGATCGTAACGAATAGTATATTACGATTTTCTATTTAATTTCATTATCTGAAATTACGAATTAATATGTTCAGGCATTGCCCACCATGAACTTCAAATATTTAGATTGCTTTGTTCCTTTTTTATTACTCAGTCATTAAGGAGACTGCAGCTCTGAACTCTCCTGGGTCTCATACTCATCCAAAATGAAGAAATTGTGCAACGCTATGCATTTCAAGTGGCAACATCTCAGCATCAGAATCTGGGTCTGATTAAGTGGTTTTTAGATCAAGGCAGATATCAATTCATATTCGACGCAGATATTAACTGGAGCTGTCTAAATTTTAGCTTTTCTAAATGGTCGTGTTATAGCAGACATTTATCTCTAAGTTTGGTCATTGTGCAAAAACTATCAGACTTAGCTAAGAGAGACCTTATGGACGAATATTTTTTATAGCTTCTGCTGCTAATTCTAACCTTAAATCTAATTCTGCGCTCATTAGTTTTTATTTCATATCAACTTTGAAATTAGCCCTAGCAATATGCAGCTTAAATGCCATATTCAAATAAAAATTCATTTAAAAATATTTTTGAGTTATAATGAAAAATGCAGTCTCAACTTTATTCTTATTTTAATTGATAAGACTATTTGAAGCCACACTTCTCGACTAATTTTAATAATTAGGATATCGGCTGCTGCTACTCCTGCTCTTAATCTTTGCATCGAGCTTTTTTTCTGTCTAATTAAGAAATTGGTAAACATACATGTCTTTTTAATTATTGAAAACCTTTCAAATTACTGGAAGATTTGCCCCTCGCAGAATTGTGATTCTTTTTGAAATGTATCACTGAATCATAAGACAAATACATAAATTTTCTATTATTTATTAATTATGAGTAGATTTACTAATTTTAATTATGGTCTTTTGAGTATGAGGTTTTCTATACATGTCTCAACCAATTATGACAGATGGCGTTAGAGTATGACTAATCCTCACTATTTCATGTCGATTAATCAAAGCTTCGCACTACACCGCGCCTACCTTTTGAATCAACCAAGCGAGGGCATGCAAAATTACCCAAGGGTGTTTTAAGCAGCCAAGTTACTAGCTACGCCGCCTCGTTTTTCCCCCAAGCTCTCTGTTTCTGCCGTGACCCGCTGTGTTCGAACTCGACTATTATGCACCTCCCCACAATAATTGATTTTCTATTCTTAATCCTATACTGTATTTCAACTAGTTATGAGTACAACTCTTGGTGACACGACTTTTCCTTCACTATTTATTGCAGGGAATCCAACGTTATATCATGTAGTTGAGCACAAACGTTCCATATTTTAGAGATATCTGATTACAACAGGCTAAAATTCACGCTCTAATTTTACTGAGGTGGTGATGGGAACTATAACAATGCTCCATTTCGAGACTTCTAACCAGTTTATTTACAGTCTAATAGGCTGATATGTTGATAGATTAATACAAATGGTCAAAGTGAAAGTAATAAGAACGACTTTTAATCCTAGGGTATGGCCAAATGAATTATCTACATCTCTTATAATCACAGTTATATTCTCTACTCTATTGGAGGACGGAAGAGGATGTATCCCGACTTGAAAGTATTACTCGTTGTCATCTAATGACAAGATTCTGAAGGATATTGAGTGATAATGGTCTTGGTCACTTCTATCCCTTACCTGAGCTTAATTTATTGACTGAGTATGCTTATTGAATAGGATTTGGGCTGTAAATAGGCAAAGTAAAAGCGTCTATGCTCCTTATTTTATTGTTTTTCCCAAATTTTGACAATCAAATTGGATACAATAATCAAGCCTATTGCTCATTTTTATTATGAGTAGCTCAATAATCAATCGCTTCTAAAACAACCATCTTTCTATTGCTATAGATCATCCCGATTTTGGCGATGAGACGATTCTAGCTTTTCCATATCCTCATTTTCATTACCTCTTCATTCAGGTGCTGCCCCGTAGCCTTGCTGCCCTCAGCTTTTGTGAATCCTCTTTGCCCGCTGCCGACGCCGAATCTATCGGAAAGGGGGGTGTTAATATTAGCGCTACTGGTGGTAACGAAGATCGCCGTTTGGATCCGTCTATTGTGATGGCTCTACGATCTGCTGAGAGCCGGCGCCTCCTGCCCCCCAGACATTCCTTTGGCATTGCGGGCAGTCTTTTGGCAGCAGCCGGAAGCCAAGCGTTAGTCCAATCCAGAACTCAAGGTAAGATATTTCAACTCACATCTGGGTTACTATATATACTCTTGTCATTATTTCTTATTTGTCGATATTATACTGTTTTTGGAGCAATGTATGAAGTTTATATTCTTTCTTGAACTGCAACTCGATGGGAAATTTCATTTATCAGTACATAGGAAGTGCTAGGTCTGAAATCCTACTTATAAACTGAAAATTAACTTGTCATTGTTGATCTGACTTTCATTTATTCAAAAATATGATTCCTACACGATTATTCACGAATAATCACCCAAAAAATGACAGCCTTTCTTGGTTTAGGATCGTGAGCCGAGGTCTTTGCACAATTCAACTGACAAAAGTCCAAGGCCAACTCTCCTTGGGTATCCGGTGAAGCTGATTTACGAATCCCTTCCATCCGCCTTCTCAAACGAAATAAAAGATGTGCCTGAAGTATTATTGGCTTTATTGTTGGCTTGTTATATGACGATTACAGTGCTTTTTGACAGCATGATGAGGATAATTTAAACAATTTGTTACTTTTAAATATTTTTATGGCGACGCACATGAGGAAGGGATTCGTAAGTCAACCTCATCAGAAGACGACGACTGATTTCCGTTGTACTGCAGTCGTTTGGCTTTAATACAGGCAGACAGTCCACGAGTCGTCCTCCCTCTTTTCGAATTAAAATGCACTGAACTTTCATGCGTGAGATCTGAGGGTCAAAATGAGATTCGACGGTACTTATCGTTTCCTCTTTCTGTCTGTCTGTCTTTCCATCGAATTTTTGGCTTAGCTGGATATCGAGACTATACCAGTAAGTGAAAAATTGGAGAATATATAGAAATAAGCAAAACAACCAACACCCAGAATAGAAGGAATGAGTGTGAGGAATTAAGTGGACGCTTCTTGTGACTATTGGATGGGATTAGAGAGAGACGGGAACGATAAATACTGTCACCTACGAAGAAAGGGCTTTATTAGCCTCGAATCTGGTTTTAAGTCACATCTCAAGCCATTCAACAGCAATGCATTCGCACAACAGGCGTGCAATGCAACTAAGTAACATGAGTCAACAATGCAGGATCAAAAAATATAAATGTTTAAAGGGAGGATGCAGTTGCTTGGGTACAACTGAATTCGTTTCACGCTTCATCTGCGGTCACTTCACTTTTCAGAAGACATTTAGGGAAAGCATATGATAACAAACGATATTATGAG